AGCAAGGCAAGAAAGTGCCCACCTTCTAGATGGGACATGGTTGAATTGTTGAACCTTGCTCTTTCTAAGAGGAATGGGGAATAGGATCTATTGCAGGGCCGGGGAGGGGAGGAGGGCCATTTTGCCTCTGGCTGCTGATACACTTCAAATTTTTACTTTACTATATTCTCTGAAAGAGGTTTATGCATATACAGAAATACACTGCTAGGATGAAAAGAAGTTCATCATACAACTTTAACTTTGTATTCATTTATCAGATATATGTACATTGCTGTTATGCTTTAGTATGAATCAATATTTTAATACAGCCTTTGATTATGTCCTAAACAAAACAAATATGTTGCATTGTATTTTTGGAATATGTTAAAAAGCATTGATTTAAAATATTTAAATTATATATGTGTATATACATGTGTGTGTGTGTGTGTGTGTGTGACAATTATATATGTGTATATACATGTGTATGTGTGTGTGTGTGTGTGTGTGTGTGTGTGTGTGTATATAAACGAGGTTACTCTAACACTTACATTGAAAGGCAAAGGAACTAGATTATCTAAAACAGTTCTGAAAGTAAAAAAGTGGGAAGAATCAGTTTACCCAATTTTAAGACTTACTATATAACTACAGAGGCCAAGGGTAGACACATAAATCAGTGGAACAGAGTAGAGAACCAGAAATAGACCCCCACATGTGCAGATAACTGATTTTTGACAAAGGTGCAAATGCAATTCAAAGAAAGAAGGATGATCTTTTTAATAATGATAGAAAAGTAATTAGATATTGATAGGCAAAAAAACCAACCAAACAAGAACCTTGGCTTAAACCTCACACTTTGTACAATTAACTCGAAATAGATAATGAATTTAAATATAAAATACAAAACTTTAAAACTTTTAGAGAAAATATTTAGGACCTAGGGCTTGGTGAATAATTCTTAGACATGGCATCAAAAGCACAATCCATAAAAGAAAAAAACAATATACTGAATTTCATCAAAGTTAAAAACTTTTGCTCTTTGAATGACACCGTTAGAAAGATGAAAAAAACAAGCTATAGACTGGAAGAAAATATTTGAAAACTACATATCATACAAAGGACTCATATTTAGAATATATAAAGAATTATAAACGCTTGACAGTTAAAAAAACAATCCAATTAGAAAACTGCAGTATATATATACTTTTTACCAAACAAGACATTCAGGTAGCAAATAAGCAAATGCTGTCCATACCATGAACCACAACTTGACAATAAATAAGAAAGAACTATTGATATTTGCACCAACTTGGATGGATCTCAAGGGCATTACTCTAAGTTAAAAAAAAAAAAAGTCAATGTGAAAAGTTCACATTTTGTGGGATTTTATTTATATAACATTCTCAAGATGACAAAATTATAGAGTTAGAGAACAGATTAATGGTTTCCAAGGGCTGGGGGAGGCAGAGACTGGGTAAGTATGACTATAAAGGGATAGTACTGGAATAGCTCTGTATCCTGATTGTAGTAGTGGCTACATGAACCTACACATGGGATAAAATGACATAGAAATATACACACACTTTGTACCAATGTCGGTTTCCCAGTTTTTCTATTCTATTATAGCTTTGTAAAATGTTACCAGTGGAGGTGTTAACCAATAAAGATCTGGAGATGTAAAACAAATTAAAAGTTTATTTGGGGTCTTAAAGGATTCAGATCCTGAAACATAGATTCAGGTTGCAACCCAAGTTGCCTTGTAGAAGGCAAAAAATACAAAGTGTAATTCTTTCATGCAAATGAAGGATTGCTGGCTAGGTTAGCAGAGATTGTTTAGTTCTGATATGCAAATGGGGGTGGTGAAAACTACAAGGAGGAGGTAAAGTCCATATGTGTCCATAGAGTAGTTATTCTAGGATATTTATGAGTCAGCCTTGAGCTGAGTTTAGCAACAGGTTTAGCAATTTAGCAGCTCTAAGAACCGAGGCACAGGATGTGCATAGGCTCCACTTCCTTAATAGCCTCCTGACTTTATCTTACATAAAGTGACTCTCTTAGCAATGCTCATTCCATTTTTTTTTCCATTATCAGAGGAAATAGTGAAGAATACACAGGGACCTCTTGTACTATCTTTGCAATTTTCTGTGAATTTATAATTATTTCAAAAGAAAAGATTTTTTTTGTTGTTAATAGCAGATTGGTTGACTATAAACATTTAAAATATGCAAGTTTTGTAATCCTGTTTGGACATTTCCATGGTTTTAATATGTTAAAATCCTCTGAAGCTGGAAGTGGCCTGGGCAGCTCTGATATCTCACCTGGGAGAAGTAAAATGCGCACTCCAAGGGGCCCTCACAACCTGTGAGTGCTGGGTGGGGAATACCCCAGAAAAATGAATGCTTCCTTAGGTTAGCAAGGCCTAGAGTGGGATCTGTAGACAGAAGATGATGGGCAAGACTCTACATGACACACTTGGTCCCTCTTATCACACACACACACACACACACACACACGCAAGCGTGCGCATTTCAGTGGCAACTGCCACCATGGCTTTTGCAGTCATCTTTGCCATCTTCGCATCCGCATCATTGATTACCAATCTCTAATCTCTGCAAACACCCTTGTAGGATCACTTTACCTGTCTTGGCCATCCTCCTCTCAAGGAGCCTCTCTGGGAAATGCTTCCATAGGAGGTAAAACCAGTCCTGGAGATTTTCCAAACCAGGAGATATTCTTGTTGTGTTTCCTGTTAAGGAACTGAGGTTTATAAAGAAATGAGGAAAGAGAAGAGACCACTGTGTTATGTTATAACTATTTTAACCCATTTTTCCTTTAATAACTCTGCTTCTTGTTTGCCACCTTTCTTATTTTCTTTATTCCTTCCATCCTACATCTAAGAGTAAAATAGGACTAGGAAACCTTTTTTAAAGTCTTCAAACAAGAAAACTTACTACCTCCATAAACCCATGTTTACACATGGGAACTATTTTGAATTACAAATACTATGAAATGAGTGTAACTTTTTTCTTTAGTGTAGTATTTACCGCAAAGTAACTCTTCAACTTACCTCCCTTGTGGTTTAGAATATGCATACATCTCATTTTTATATACTCCTATTTTTAGGATATTTTCCCAAGAGTTTGAAATTCAATTCTTCTACATAATTACTAACTTTCTATTTTTACATGTTATTTCATCATCCCAGTTATGGTAACCTTAGGTCTGATCATTTTTTTTTCCATAAAAAAAAATCAAAATATTATATTATCCTGGGTTGATTTGCAAGCAGAACTGTGACAAAGGCTTGTGTGCAAATAGTTTATTGGGGAAGTGATTTCAGGAAACAGGAGTGAAGGGCAAGGAGCATAAACCAGAGAAGGTGAAAAAGATAAGACAAGAGGGCATTAAGTTGGCCACTGCTACAAATGAGTGGTGTTCTAATCCATTGGGACTTTCTGAGGAACCTTATGAAATATATCAGAACTCTCTGCCAGAATATGAAAGGAGAAGCACTTATCTATGGAGTCCCTGTTGGTCTGAGTGCTACACAGATACAAGTATCAGAAATGCCTCAGGATAAAAACCAGGAGACACGAGATGTGGGGTCCCAAAATGAGCTATTAGGCAGTGGAAGCTGAGCAGAGCTCAGTTCTGCCCAAGTACTAGAAATAGAACCAGGAGGATCTGATGTGGAGCTCAAGATGTGTCCAACACAATTACCAACCTTAGAACTTCTATACATTGATAAAGAGTAACTAACTGCCCAATGGAATAATTATATTTAGCTCTATTAAGTCAGCCAATAATATTTTAACATCACCTTATTGGTTTTGTATCTTCAACTTGCCCAGTGATGTCTCTGAAAGTTCAAGAGTGAAAATAAATTTTAATGGTTGGGGTAACAGCCCAAGTGTGTTACGTTGGATTGCCAAGCTGCATTTTAAGAAGGAAATATCAAAATAAAATGTGAAAGAATTACAAATGAGAGAAATTCACACTTGAGCTGTTTTTACATCTATGTTTTGATAAAGTCATACGCTCTAAAGCCATTTCATGTAGAGTTTTATTTTTAAGAAGTGGGGAAAGCAGAAGTTTCTTAAGAATAATTGAATGCTGTTTCAGATAAATTTTAAGTATTTCCAATAAACACAGTTATAGGAGCATAATTAACCCTTAATTTACAGAATATAAAGGTTACATTAATTAGATAATTAATAGGTTGATTAATTTAATAATTAATGGATTATTAAGTAATCCAATAATAACCAATTTATTGTCTCAAGAACTATTTTAAGATGCCTTAATTCATTTGATCCTTGCAAAGTCTCTAAAGTAGATACTACCCAGATCTCATTTTAAGGATGACACTGAGACACAAAGAGTTTGAATAACTTACCAGAGGTCACACTGCTCATAAGAGGTGGAACAACAACAAAAAATAGTACTGTATAGTCAATATCTTCATTTAAAAAAAAAAAAAGTTTACGGCAATTTAGATTAAATGAACACAGTGGCCAAATAGTCAAAATAGAATCTGGAATCACTCTCTCTTTGCAATAATTAAGATGATCCAAGTGAAAATAATCAGTAAAGACATCATCCATCTCATTACAGGACACCAGCCACTTGATCGAATCTTTATTTTGCTTGTAAATATTCATCCCTGTATAAAGAGAGAAAAATAATATATTAGGATAAAAGAATAAAGAATTGAGGGGATAGCCAGGCAGACTGAGAATTTTTGTAACTAAGCGTACAATAAATGTAATATCATTGCAAAACATGTCCACAGTAAGTGTCTTGGTTTTTCACTGCATCTCTTTATCCAGCAAAAGTTTTCCACCAATGATTTTGTTGACTAAAACCCATATAAGAATATATATGACAATTTTTACTGCTTCCAAATTTTGCGAATACCCTTAATTCAGAAGCTTAGAACAACATCAGTCAACCACTGTTTCCTGGAAGTAACTCTCATTAATTTTTCATACTTTGTTGGATATTTGTGTTATTATCTTTCAGTTATGGAGAAAACTACAGATACAATTCCTCTTACTATGAATTCTTCAGAAGAACAAGGGACTGTGTGTATTTTTGGAACTGGAGATTTTGGAAGATCACTGGGACTTAAAATGCTCCACTGTGGTTATTCTGTTGTTTTTGGAAGTCGAAATCCCCAGAAGTCCAGTCTGCTGCCCAAAGGTGCAGAGGTCTTGAGCTATTCAGAAGCAGCCCAGAAATCTGACATCATATTCCTAACAATCCACAGGGAGCATTATGATTTTCTCACAGAACTAACTGGAGTTCTCAATGGCAAAATATTGGTTGATGTCAGCAACAACCTCAAAATCAATCAGTACCCAGAATCTAATGCAGAGTACCTTGCTCAGCTGCTGCCAGGAGCTCACGTAGTAAAAGCATTTAACACCATCTCAGCCTGGGCTCTCCAGTCAGGAGCACTGGATGCAAGTCGGCAGGTAAGATTAAATGATAAATTTATGCTCAGTCTTTAAAAAGTGAATGTTTTAATGTGTATTTACCTCAAAGATTCCAAAATATAATTCCAAAATAAAATACCGACTAAACATTTCATACTGCTGATATCTATGTGCCATGAATAGTTCTCTTGGGTTTAACCAAGCAGGGTAGTCAATTGTGATTTATTTCCCACTGTCTGTACTCTCAGTTTTTTTTAGTTTGATGGAACCCAATGGCGTCAGTCTCTGGAGGCCTTTTGTCAACACTGGAAGAATAACACAACTAAATTATTGATGGATATCCTTTCCATTCCCATTACCATTGTATAAAACTTGTTCCATTTATTCACTGAGATTAGAAACAATCCATAAATGATGCAGCACCCCCAAATACAAAAGAAAGATCCAACTATTCACATTGTGGAGAACCACATCTTATCATATTAGTGTGGAGTGCCTAAAACCAGTCTCAACTTGAAACCCTGGTACTTAGTTATCCAGTACACTTGTACAAGTTTGAAACATTATCTTGTTAAATACGTTGATTCAATATCCTTGTTTGAAAAGCAGTTCACTACTACATGTCTTTGTTCTGAGTGGTACTTAATATAAACTTTCACAATAATTACTAAAGAAAGAATAAATACAAAATGAATTATCTTTAACCCAGGTGTTTGTCTGCGGAAATAACAACAAAGCCAAGCAAAGAGTGATGGATATTGTTCGTACTCTTGGACTGACGCCATTGGATCAAGGATCTCTCAAGGCAGCCAGTGAAATTGAAAACTACCCACTGCAACTATTTCCAATGTGGAAGTTCCCCTTCTATTTGTCTGCCGTTCTGTGTGTCTTCTTCTTTTTCTACTGTGTTGTAAGAGAAGTAATTTACCCTTATGTTTATGAAAACAAAGATAACACATTTCGCATGGCTATTTCCATTCCAAATCGTGTCTTTCCAATAGCAGCACTTACACTGCTTGCTTTGGTTTACCTCCCTGGTGTTATTGCTGCCATTCTGCAGCTGTACCGAGGTACGAAATACCGCCGATTCCCAGACTGGCTTGACCACTGGATGCTCTGCAGAAAGCAGCTTGGCTTGGTAGCACTGGGATTTGCCTTCCTTCACGTCCTCTACACACTTGTGATTCCTATTCGTTATTATGTACGATGGAGGTTGGGAAACCAAACCACTACCCAGGTAAATCTCTATTCACTTGTATTCTCCTACTCCTTAAATCAAAGAGGAATCTTGCTATGTCATATTCCATTCCCAATTATAGGAAATCACTCTTCTAAGCATCTTTATATTTTAAAGTAACTAGAATTAGACACCTCATGTCTGTTTCTTTGTTTTGTTTTTAATGAATCCAGTTGAGGTCTCATACAACTCTTGAGAATGAAAGTTAACTTCCCAGGTTCACTTGGGTTCAGATCTGTAGTGCTAAGACTGCCTGGGATCATGACAAACTGAAAGATTTGGTGGGTCAGGAAAACTTATGACACCTACTTATATTCCTTTGGGGACAGTCAATAAATGTAAATCAATGTGTTTTCAAGCTTCTATTTTTATGCATGCTACTTGCTTTTGGAAGTCAGAACCAACTATCTTATAAGGGGGCTGGTCCAATATGTTTACAGGAATGTAGACAAATTCACAAAAGGGTGCTTATAACTCCATTAACATTTGACTTGAGGGAAATTGTCACCAATTTAGCTTAGAAAACTAAATAATTCTGAGCAAATGTCAGGCAATATATTCTGTAGAGTCAAAAATTCAGAGAGAATCAAGTCAGGGAGTCTAAAAGCAGTCCCAGAGGAAGTGCTATATATAAGTTCTAGTTTGGAAATAACTGGTTTTGATCAACCTTACTTCAGTCTCAAAGTTTATTAGTCAATAACTCATTGATGGTACTTCTGTGGTTTTCTCTACATTACTTCCCCCAACAAATACAGGGGAAGTTCTTGGGTAAGAATCACATTTACTCTTAATCTGTAGTGTGACAGACTTGATTCTATAGTACAACATAATAAACCTGAAAGAACTCAGACATTGTGTGTGTGAATAATCAGCATGTAAAGCAGAAAAACAGAATTTTGATGTAATCATTTGAGAACATCAAGTTTTGCTTGGGGAACAAGAAACCATATGGTAAAGAAGGTTTAAGTAAAAGTTTACTTTGTTTTAGGATGTATAGGGTTGATTAAAACTCCCTATATGACTCCTAGAGTCAAGTATAATAATGAAGTCCCAGCAGAACCAATTAGTTTTTCTACCAAAAACATAATTTCTAAGTGCATTTTTACAGTGATTTGCAAATGATTATTAAGAAATGTCATATAATTTGCCTTGAGCAAATAAATAAACCATGCAGAGATATTGTCAGTCCCCTTAAAAGTTTGGGCCGTTTGTAAAAAAATGTAATTTTTAAAATTGCTTATAATTTTTCTTAGGCAATATCCAAGAAAGAAAATCCATTTAGTACCTCTTCTGCCTGGCTTAGTGATTCATACGTGTCCTTAGGAATTCTTGGATTTTTCTTGTTTGTGCTCTTGGGGATCACTTCCTTGCCATCAGTTAGCAACGCGGTCAACTGGAGGGAGTTCCGATTTGTCCAGGTGAGGACTTCAAGATCTAATTTACTTTTATTGCAAAATGAGTCTGGCTTTACAAATATTCTTATTCTTCTCTCATACCATGCATAAATTTTCATTTTGCTCCATCACTTCCCTAGCAATCTCATAAAAATAGCAATTGAAACAAGTTCAAATTAGAAAACGCTAAACTCTGGTACCAAAAGGCAGATTCCATAATGGTTTGATTTCCTAGCAGGACATCCCTTGCCAAGATTCCTGACTACTCCCACAGCCACAGCTATGGGTATAGAGTGAAAAGCACCAACAACTACTAAACTTTGTATGTGGAGGTATACTAGGTATAAGGTGAAGAAAAACTCAAAGACAAAATTTCTACTTCTGAAATCAACCTTAGAATATAGATATTTTGATATGTAAAGGCATATATTAAAGTTTAAAACCTTTGAAGCAAGAAATGCTAGAATGTCATCATACCAGACAGACTCAGTGCTGGCCTGTAAGAAGGAAAACGGTTTCTTCCCACAGATAAACTACCAGACACGGTTAGTAACTATTCTTATAGACCAGTGGTCCTCAAACTGTGGTACCTAGACCAGCAGCATCAGTATCACCTGGGATTTTGTCAGATACACAAATATCCTGGACCCACTAAGACACAATGCATCAGATGCTCTGGACATGTGACCCAGGAATTTGTTTTGACAAACTCTCCTGATGACTCTGATGAATGTTCACTGTGAACCAGTATAATTAGTAACTGAAATTAGATTTGAAAATATAGAACTATTTGAATTTCAAAAGTCTTGCAGTTTGTCTCAGGGACAAAATGCAGTCAACATTTTCTCATGTTAACAGTTATTCAAGGCATTAAGATAGAAATAAACATTTAGCTTTAGTATTTAGGCCAAGCAAACAAAAGTAAAGTTCGGTAATTGCTCTTTATCGTGATAGAAATTAGCTAGCATCTGCTCTTAGTCAGTAACAGAGACTGCTGTGGTGCTTCTTGAGAACCTACTGTGTCTTACTCATCTCTGGCCTCCAGAAAAGGTGTTTTAACATTTGGAAAGAAGGCAAGGTAACTCACTTATCTTAACTAAAGAGTTTACTCCTAGGAAACTGTCCCATTCTGCCAGGTTAAGATGAAACCACCATGTTATTTGTAAGAACAATCATTTTTAAGTAAAATATTTATCATCCTGAAGGAGGGTTAATGCTTTCTTCTTCAGTACTTAGCAGAGTGTTCTAAATATGATAGGTTTCAAAGATTTGTAGTTGTTAATAAATATCCTTCATTAGCTAAGAGTGTTTTGCTTTAAAATGTAAATAGCGTCAAAGTACATATTTTTTTTTCTTGCTTATAGTCCAAACTGGGTTACTTGACCTTGATCTTCTGCACAGCCCACACTCTGATATATGGCGGAAAGAAATTCCTCAGTCCTTCGATTCTCAGATGGTGTCTTCCTTCAGCCTACGTGATAGCACTCATCATTCCTTGTACCGTGCTAGTGCTCAAGTTCATCCTTATCCTGCCATGTGTCAACAAGACTCTCACAAGGATCCGCCAGGGCTGGGAAAGACACTCAAAAGTCTCAAATTGGCATTGAATAGAAAAACAGATATTTAAAGCAAATTTCAATTCCCCCTGACTTCTCAACCTAGAGTTCTGTATTCTATGTTTAGAGAAGAATGGGCACAGTTAAGAAAGCATTCTTTTCTCACAATGGTCTGAAGTTTGTGAACAGAGAGAAAATGTTGTCAGACAGTTGAGAAATTGGAAGAGAACACCATTTTATCTCAGATTAGTGATGAATTAGTGTAGGTCCCTGCTTCTTTTCCCTGAGGCAGCGGGGCTGAGATCCAGATTAGCTTTGTGGCTTCACACTCAGAAGCTTCTCATTGTGCCTCCCAAGCATAATCTAATGTTTTACAAAATCCAGGGGAAGTATATGCAACTTCCTTCTCTGGTTCAAGGGCTGAGTGGAAAGGAAGAGAAAACAGTAAGGTGGTGGCCACCGATAAAGACTTTACGACCTGTGTCTGAAGATGAGAGCCAAATGAAGTAAAAGGAAAGATTTGTTTTGTTTTGTTTTTTTCAACGTGAAGGTGATTATAAATATTGTCCTAGAGAATTCTGTAGTTAAATATGCTCTTTGATTTTGCTTTTACCAATATGAATGTGTACAGTGAGAATTATTTTACAACACAACAAAAATATCACAGTATATGCAAATCTATACAGTTGTCATAAGATTCCTCCTCTTCAAGGAATAGGTGTAGGAAAGATTGAGTTAAAATTGAGGGATACCCACTTGGATTTTCTCAAAGAACTATAAGCAAGGAAAGTTTGATAAAAGCCCTTGCACAAAAAGTTCAAATAAGCCAGAATTTTAAATAGCAAGCTAAATAAGTTTTGTGAAGTTGCACTAGATAAGGTTTTGTTTTGTTTTAGGTATTGTGGTATGCTTTGTAAATAATGCATTCCAAATATTTCAATATTAATCACTTATGAAATGAATTTCTTGTATAAAAAGGTAGTTTCTATAATTTTTCATAGTTCATTATAATTTTAAGCAGTGAAATTAAATGAATAATGAAAAGTATAAGTTTGATGTACGGATGAGAATTATGGAAAGTCTTAGGGCAGAGAGATGTGAGCAGTAGCTGTTACGTGACACTTAGTTCTTTCTCAGATTCTTGCTGGAATGCAAGATAATTCTCTGTTTTTCTGTACTGAGAGTTTCATTTCCTAGATGACCTTCAG